CAATGCCAGTAGGATCAAACTCTGATGCTGTAAGTAGCAAAACCAGCATAAATCAGCCTTCCCCCACATTTTCCCTGCCCTGGTCACTCACACTGTCAAGAGTTTGGAACCTTGACAGTGAAGCAGTTTGGAGACCTGATGAAGGCTCAAACTAACCCAGCAAAATCTTAAGCTCTGACCTCACTGTAGATGTTCTGTTGCTCTTTGTCCACCTGTACTTGTCCAGTTTCCATATACTTGTGGAGCTCCTGGAGAGCAGCAGCCCTGAGGAACACCTCTCATCCCCCAACCCCAACCTGCCAGATTTGTGAGTCCCACAGGGAAAAAAAAATACAGCCTGCAAGAAGATGATGATGCATCTAGTGTAAGAAGTCAGGAATCTGAAGTTTTGATGGCAAGACCTCTGCATAATATATGGGAAATAAAAGGTCAGTGGTAGCTGCTGACAGTATTACAGCATGCTGGGAATAAAGCACTGCTGCTATCAATAGCTACTCTTAGCTCACTGGAGTTAGCAGACAGTCTGATCTCACCCAGACTGCACAACCTGGACTTTAAAGCTGCAAACCACATGCATTTCCAGCCTCTTTTTCTTTTTAAAGCAGGGAAATGGTACTGCTAGAAAATATATGGGTTAAGGGCATCAGTGCTGCTGCTGAGGCAGAACAATAACAACTTCAGTCATGATTTATATAGCTAATTTCAGAATAAAACCCTATCTATTTTTAAAAAGAGGAAAAGACCACAAAATGACCTGATTTTGTATTCAGCAGTGATTACAGTTTATACTGCCCAATGTTTCAACTGGGTAAGCATGCAAATAGAATATTTTATTAAAGTAACAGACAAAAGGGATCTTTTCTTCTTTATATGCCCTCTCCACTGCAACAGATTTTATCAGGCTGCAGCCAGACACACACTAGTTCCCTCTTACCTGAAGTGCCTGTCTGATTTTAAGAGAATTATTTCCCAAACCAAATACCCATTCCTTTCTTGTATAGGCTCTAATTCCAGTTTATTGCTCATTTTTTTTTCTGTTTTAAGCTAGCAAAATGTTCTTTTGGTCATCTAAAAGCTTTCAGAGTGAAGAGGCCAGAAAAGAAGCATGTATCATCCGTATCAGATGGTAATCCTGGGATTTGTTTCTATAGTGGCAAATAAAGCATGATTTTCTATGGCATTCAAAGCCAACCCAGTACTCTCTACTGAAGGAAAGCACTCTATGTGGACATGCACAATCTAACAACACTTTGGACTGTTTATACATCTAAATCAAAGCATCTCACACCAATTCTTTCCACGATCACTACTTCTGTTTGTAAGAGGTGTACTGAAACAGTCTGACCAAGAAATGCACATAAAACCCAATTCCAACCCACACCACTTCCTCTTTAGGAGGCATCATTGGAGGCAGTCACTTCATGTTCACCTTCTGCTGCCAATGATGGGCAGGGACCTGCAGAAGAACTTGGCACAAGGAGGAAGGGATGTTCTCAGGAGAGAAGCAGTAGGATATGAGCAGGAATAAGCAAACCAGCAGAGTCAACAGCCTCATTAGGGAGAAAACCACAGCCAAAGCTGCTGGAGCAATAACCTCCATTTTGCTGACAGTGCCACACAGCCTGGTCTTGCTCCAAAATCCTTCACCCCAGTCCAGTTCACTCCTTTTAATCGATAATAACACTATGCAAACCAGATGCAGGTGGAAATACTTTTGTGTTGTTTTTAAAACCAAGATGTCTGGTTCAGGATTCCCTCCAGAGCCCTGGAACTGTGTGCCCCTGGCTGTGGCTATCTACACTGCAGTATGGCTGAGGGACCCAGCCAAGCACCAGGCTGCAATCACATCAGCACTGGACACACAGAAGTGACCCCTGCACCCCAAAAAGGTCCTACTTTGACGACTGGAGGTCCTCAGCAGAAGCACAGAGGGAGCAAAAGGGCAATGAGAACACTTCAACCTGCTGTTGCACCAGCTAATGTAATTCATGCCACATGTTGGTAGACACCTCTAGGACTTCAGAGTATATTCCTTCCTATTTCCCTGTAAAAGGGAGCTCTTCTAAAATTGGAGAAAGTGAAAGAAAGCCCAAAGATACCCACCTGATTATTTCACCTGTGCACAACAATGCTGCATGGCTGAGCCAACAGTCAATGTTTGATTGACAAATGAGAAGGGATACATGAACTGGAGACAGGATAGAAAGGATCTTAAGACAGGTGTCCTATTTCTGTGGAGGATGCAAAGATGGAACCAGCAGAGACTCAGAGATGCTGATCAAGATGAAGCTGATTAGGAGAACCCACTTCAAAGATGCATTCTGAGGAGGTGGATGCAAGTGGGCAAGATAGATTTGTCAACAGAACAGGAAAATGCAAGATGAAAAGAATGAGAACATATCAAAAGGTGTTTCAGCTTTATGAGTAGTTAAGGCCCCCAAGAGAAAATAAAAACTGGAAATGAAAATTGAAAAAACCACATTGTAATTTCAAAATATTAACTCTGAAAAAATTCAGCTTATAGTCAAAATTGAATTACTAAAGGAAGTCATTCTAGCTTGCAAGCTATTCAGCATACAGAGAAGGAGGGGAACCAAAAGATATAAGTTTAGTAGTCATTTAATAAAGGTATATAAATTTCTTCCTTTCATATCTTGAATATTAAACACCAGTACTTCTCCCCACACATAAACCATTTCATCAATTGCTTCTCTTTAAGTCTTTAGCTATAAATATAAATACAAACACACATATATATAGCATTAAATTCCATCAAATCAACAAACAGATTATATATAGGAACAGCACTTCTGCCTAAACACTGCACAAAATTGTGTTGCTGTGCAAAGCTAGAAAAGAGCTGCTCTTTTACCACTGAACAGATCACTGGAAAAGTAAAAGAAACATTAATTTTTCAAAACTGAAAATTCTGTTGAGCATGGGAAGGCAGAGCCAGGACAGCTTTCTGAAACTGCCCACTACACTGGTCACTGAGTTACTGTGCAGTGTTTTGAACTGCTCATCTTTAGAGGGGGCAAACAAGAATGGCTGTATCAGCGTGCTCAATTCTTCCCCTCTTCTAAATACTACTCAAGGAAAATAGCTTTGGCTTTTCCTTTATTAACATTATAGCCCACATGACAAATCACACTATTTACCAGTTTTACTGTTTTTTCCATAGGCTAAATGGAATCACTAAACAAGACCAGCTGAAACTGATGGAGGAAAAAAACCTTTATCCCATCATAACACGTGCAACAGGACTGTTAAAGACTACACAGAGCAGCAAAAGAAACACTAACTCACTTCATTGCTCTGATTTTTCTTAGAGTTCAGAAATAACATCCTTCAAGACTTCAAAATTCCTTTTAATTCCATAAACCGTTTTTTTAACATGTCTTTATGGTTGAAAGATCAATCAGAATTCCTTTGTGGGAAGTCATTCCCATCAGTTCAATTACTCTATGTAATTGTTTCAGCAATCATAGTTAAATATCCAATTTAATTTTTATTTAGAGACTCCATTACCTAGCATCAAGCAGATGTAAACACTAAAATTTTATCTTCACTCCCTCCTGTGCCTTCTTCCCCAGTGCAAACACCATTTTACCCCTCAGCATTTTCTCTAAACCATAAAAATGCAAGTGCAATCATTGAAAACCTCCACAACTCCCAGTGCTCACTTACACCTCACTCTGAACACACTTGTTGCTGATGAGCCCATGGTGGTTTGTTAGGCACGAGCACAGAGATGGTCCTCTCTGCTTCCATCCCACATGCCTCACAGCCCCAAAACTCTTCATAGATTTATCTTTGCTTTATCCCCCTTATCCCTTTCAGGTGGAAAGGAATCCCAGTTGCTGATTAAACAGGAAGAATACTGTTCTGTGGCAGTTCTACATATTCATTTTAATCAACAGCTGATCCATTTGGAGCTGGTGTTCTTTCCCTAGAGCCTTTCACAGATAGTCCCTTTCATTCAAATGCTGCTCATAGCTATTGTAATTCAATTCTTTTCTTGCATGTAATTCACTAAACTTCAGCAAGATGCCTGTCAAGCAAGTCAATATTTTACACTCCAACCTGAATCCATTTTTCACAGTGTATCAAAATGCAAATTTATTTTGTCCTAAGGGTCACCATCTAAGTAGAACCAGCTTGGAAATGGAAACACCTAAATGAAATGGCAAGCTGGTGGTTGCAGGAATGAACCACGTATCTCCTGAAGTCCAGAGACTGCAAATGTTGTCAGAACATCTCGTTACAAGTGCATTAAAACTCCCCAAGGAGAAAGAAAACGCAGAGTTGGTTAAACATTTATAGGTACCTCTGAGTTTCAGCTGCTGCATGCATAGCAGGATAGTTTCCTCTCACAGTGATACCCACTCTGCTCTCAAATCTTTGTATTATCACTAAGAACTACTTAATTTAAGTGAATAAAAGGCTCATCATTGCCCTCCCCGCTGACTACTTTAAAAAATCCCCATAACAGCAATGCTTTGCCCAACCCAGGTAAACACAAACCCACCCATGTGGTTGCAGCTATGGAAAACACTCCCTGCCACCATTTTACAGCATGCCTTAAGTGAAACCAGTTATAATTCCCAGTATGGCTTTGTAGTATTTACAGAGCAACACAATACATCAGCAAGAACAGCCATCACCATGTTAACACATTAACTTTGCTAGAAGACTCTTCCAGCTGAGCTTTGCCTGGTTGCCTCAGTATTCTCAATAAGCACTCCAGACAACTTGTTCTTGTGAGCTTTTGTCTCTGATAGAGACACCCAAATTAACAAGTCAGACTGGAGGATGAAGTTGACACTTGGGCATCATGTCATCCTCTGGGTGACTGCACACTTCAAGTTTCACTCAGAGGCATTTTAACTGCATTTAAGACACCTCAGTCCTGGGCACTGCAGGCAGCCTCACATCTTTGGGGGGAGTAAGAACCAAAAGGAATAAACAGTATTTCCTTGCCCCAAATCCCTTTTACCTACCTGCACAGCCAAAAGCTAGGTGATACCTAGAAGAGGGGCTGAATTTGACACAACAGACATTAGCCTTGGCCTCGATGCTTGCTACTGAGTTGTCCAAGTTGGTAGACCACAGTTTCACTAGAGAAATAGAAAAAGAAAAATGAGTAAACAAAACAATCAACCTCATGAAAGGCATAAAACCAAGTCATTTCATAAATAAGATTTTCCAAAGCCTCAGTTGCCAGGATGTCAGTGATTATAAAGGGTCATTTGCTGCTGAAGGCAAGCAAGCTTGAGAACACCATCAAGCACTCACTGTAAATACTCTGCTCATTTCCATACACACAGGAGATGCAGAAAGTCAACATCATGTGTGACTGAGAACAGAGCCAGTGACTGACCACAAGTTAGAATCTCAGTGTTTAATGCTACTGGGCCGCAGATTCATAAGTCCAGGCTTGAATTCTTTTTTTTTTCCACTTGTCCCTTAGAATCCCATGTTCCACAGCAGAACTGCTTTGCACAGAATAAATATACTTAATTGTATGCTTGAGCACAGCGAGTGTGAACTTGTTTTATTCTCAAGCAACTGGCTCAGACAGGAAAGAAATCAGTATGCTGGCTTCCTACCATGATATATTTTCTTGGTGTAAGGGACTCTGCTGTTCTATGAGGCTGCTGTGTGATCGTGACTAAGCTTTGTGGTACAGAATGAGCTGTACCCCCAAGAACTCACTTCAGTGTTTCACAGGACAACCAATAGCAGTAGCTTTTCAAAATACAGCCTTCCCCACCCTCCACAAACACTTCAAGTACCACTTAAGGTTAAGGTGAAGAGCACCAGGTACTCCCCATGTAGCCAACCTCACGATTAGAAGCTACAGGAACACTTTGCCCCCCGTCCCAGTGAAGGGGCACCAAGCCCCACTGATGCCTACAAAGCAGAAAATGAGACATGTTCTCTCTTCCTCCTTTTCTTGAGTAGTGGGTTGTGCTGTACTTGAGTATTGTGATCAGGAAGCTGAGGCAGGAAGCAGAGTCAGCTGAAGCCACTGTTTGAACACACAGGAGCTACACGAAGCCTTAATCCCCTAAACACTGCCACGAGCTGCCTGGGCTTCTTCAGGTCTGCAGCCTTCAGGTCCTTTGCTGTTTTTTGTACAGAAACCTCACTTTGGAGGTGAAGTGAACAAAGGAACAGGAATTTTGTTACCCACTGTGGTCAATAAATGAGGTAAGTTGTCTCTTGGTGTGTCCCCCCCATGCTCTGAGGACCCTTCTCTGAATCACTTCTTGGCCAGTCTTTCCCAGGAGCTTTGAAATAGCAACAAGGCTTCCCACACAGATTACCCAAGGGTGGCTCAGACGGCCAAAAGGAGGAACACAGGTTTGTTCTAGTGCACCTGCTTTTTAACAGTAGGTCAAGCAACAAAAAGAAACAAGATTGAGCTATTTCTGACCACACCTAGGAGAACTGCTTCAAGGACGAAGGAAATGAAAAGGACTGCTCAGAACACACCCAGGATTCATTTTAATGCAGCACTGTGTGGGTATCTGAGAGCTGACTGGAACTGTTACAAAAGCACCACACACAGCAGAAACACACACTGATGCACAATATATTTGCATTTAAGTATTAAACAAAATTCAATTAAAATGGCACCCACCTTATTTATTGGTTCTCAGAAATAAATCCATTCTCATTTACCAGAGCTATAATATTCATCCTAAACGTCTAGCTATGTTTCTAAATGAAACTAACAGCTTTGCAAGCATGGCTTGAGACACTTTCTCCTCTCAGGTAAGACTGGAGGATTTACCTCCTCCCCTGTTCTGTGCTTGGGGCACAGAAGGGAATGCAGCCAGAAAAATCAGTTTTGCAAAGCAGTAAAACATTAGCATTTTGCTTCAATGAACAGACATCAGATGTACAAGTCGTAGCAGTAGAGGACATCAAGTTTGCAGATGAAATGGGAAGGAAGTAAATACTGTCATTACAAGAGGACACTGTTGGCAGAGGACGTTGCTTCAACTTGTGGCGTGTGGGGAGGCTACATGATCTCAGCTCAGAGCAATGTTCTGCCCAAATCTAGTACCAAAACCACACAGGCTTGTCTTGAAGCCTTCCAACCAGTATTAATATTAAAGTTGCAGCCAAGGCAGCCAAGTCTCTCCCTGACACTGCCTCTAATAAACAAACAGCCATCTGGTCTCAGTTTTGTAGCAAGAGCTAATTGAGGGCTCATTCTCAACTTGGCTCCTTTTTACATTTAAGTTTTCAGGTCACAAGCTGAGCCATTTAATCTGAAAGAGTCAACCTGTGTGTGCAAAGACATCATAATATTCATTACAACTGACAGAGATTAGAGTCTGCAATTTCTGTGATCTAACTGCTGTGGGATATGCTGGGCTCCAATTATATCTTAGTGCCATAAAAAAGGATCTATGCAACATATTACATGTAATGAAACATGTCAAGTTTCACCTAGAACTGCCCATTATTTTCCAAAAAGAACTGACAGGTTAATAAAGCAGAATTCATAAGGGTAGAGATTATTTGCTGTAGCTTTCAGCGATTTTGCTGAGGTTGAGGCAGCAATTATCTAATGTACAGATGTCTTGGTAACACCTAGAATTGTGTTGATGACAAGCAACCATCTGAGATTGACTGTTTCTAGAACACATGTTCTCAAAGCATATGTCTCCTAATTTTACAGCTGCTGAGACAGACATCTCCATGTGACCAATTGCCTACTCCTTACCAAACAAAATGCCACCAGAACAGCCTGTTTTAAATGTTTAGGTCTTTTCAAGATCTTTTTCATTTGCTTGAAGCTTTACACCAACTGTTTGAGCTTATAAATTCATTTTCTACATACCAGTTCTGTGTCCAAACACCAAATAAGAGGTGGAAGGGTTGATGTACACAGCTGATACACAGAAAATAAGGATATTTCATCCAGCCTGTTATTTTTATAATTCTTATCTGCTCATGTGATGGGAAGGGCTGCTGTTACTCTGAAAAAGCTGTAAAGTAGGAATAGGACACTGCTACCAGAAAACTTGTTTATACAGATTCGAAGGAAAGGAGGAAGCTGATGAATTGTCCTGCTAGGTAAATTTTTTGATCCACTGCCCTGTGCTGGTCAGGAAAATGATGTAAAATTATGACTGTTAGCAGGCAATGACCACAGGGTCATTGTGCAAGGCAACCAGGTATTCTGGTTGGCATTTTAACTACCGACATCTTCTTGACCTTTCAAGGTATTCCCAGTTGAATCCAACAACCCCACAAATCTCCAGGAAACTATCAAACTTCTTTGAGCCAGGAAAATGAACAAACTGAAAGTTCAACCTGATATTTTAAGAGCCATAAACATCTATACCTCTAGTTTTAGGTGGAGGTACAAGTTATAAGACAGCAGAAGCTGAAGGAGCAAAGTGTCACTGAAAATAAAGCCTCAAACAAGCCTCTGAAGTCCTCAACAAAGCTGGGGAGCAAACTCTGATGTGCAGTTTTCAGGTTAGCCTCCCCTCTAAAAGTTCATGCTTCTTTTCTATGAAGCCAACTCTGCAAATCGGCTTTGCCTCATTGAATTCAAGGACACTACAAAAAAAACTGCTGTAGGATTAGCACCCATGGTCTCACTTACCAAGGCAGCATGGAAATGACTTTCCTTATACATAATGACAGAGATGGTTGCAATTCTCCTTGCATTGAGACAATGAAAAGTAACCTCTCACTACAGGTTAGAGCTCAGGCATTCATGTTCTGCTCCACCTCTCCATTTTGAGTCAGGAAATAGCAAAGGGACTACAGCTAAGAGAAAGGACATAAGACCAGGACTCTCTTCAGCTTGAATCACCTTGAGCTTCAAAACAAAGCCCTGAGCAGAGGAGAAATGTTTCATCACTGCAGAACATGTCTCTACCACAGCAGAAACTTCAACTCCACCCTTGTGGCTTCACAAAATATTTTGCTCTCTCTCATCTAACTTTTCCATGCCCATTAACCTACATTCCCAATCCAGAACAGACAGGGATGTTGGGCTGAGAAGTAGTTCTAAGTCCTTAGGTAAGGGCTCTAATTCCAGCCCTATCCTGGCACTTCAACAGAATCATTTTGCTTTCACAAAATTAAATCATCTTTTCTCAAATAGCAGAAATTTACCCTTTGTTACTACCATGAGAATTATAGCTTCTACCATTACTATGTGCACAAAAGAACTGAAATTAAGATTGTGCTGTTTCCCCAGCACTCATTTTATCTGCTGCTGTCTGGTTGGTGCACACCTTTGGGTCCCTATAGACATACTCAACTACCTTTGCCCCTTTGAAAGGGAAGGGCATGACAACTGTACATAAAAGTGAGGGTTTCATACACACACCAGCTACTCCACATACAATAGTGCTTTTATACTCTCATTACCTGCTATTAAAGTAGAAAAAATCTTCCACAAATAAGCATCTTGGATTGTCTTCCTCTAACAACAAGGACAATGCAGGACCCTGAGGATGCTGTTTGTAATTTTACCATTTTATCCTCCATTTGTTAGCACCTCTGTGCTGTGCCTGAGCCCTGGCAGAGACAGCTGTGAAGCCCTGAGAGAACTTCTCATCTCAAAAGCTCCTTCCCCAAAACATGCCTACTGAGAATACCAAGTGCTTTACAAATTAGCTTCCAACTTGAAAAGATGAAGGAGAGACAGGCAGATACACAGGCAAGTGGGAAGAACTGGTTAAGCTGTCACTTTATTGCTGGCTTGTCCTGATCACTTGACAAGAAAATGTTACACTCATGCTTTCCAGGGAAGCACAGTGAGATGAGATCCTTTTGCTCTGGTCACACCAACCTCTATAAACATTGAGATTTCTTGTTAGAAGGACCAGTGTGACCTCACACGGGCAGACAAGTAAAAGAGGGCAGGAAGGGTATATAAATACTTGGGATTTAGCACCAGATGCTGTGCCTGGCCAAATGTGTATTCTATGGCCCCAAAGCTGGCCAGAAGTGAACCCAACACTCCTGAACATAAGCAGAAAGACAAAAGTTTAAGCTAGGCAGGTTTAAGTTAAGACAACAAGTTATCCTTTCCTCACACCTAACCCTTTTGATATGACTATTTTAATGGTAGGTGACACCATCACATTAATTTGACATCTGCTACTATTGCTTTGCACCCTAAAGACTTCTAAAACCTCTTCCTATTTCAAGTACTTCCACACAGCACTCATTTGTCTCTAATGAACTTGTTATGGATGCAAATCACAGTAGAAGTAAATGAGAAAATGTTTCCAACCCAGTTTTATTCACCAAAACCCCAAAACACCTTCAAAAGACCTTTGTGACTCGAAATGCAAATTATGCAGATCTGCAGACTTCATGGCAATAATTTCTAAGTAAACACTGTGCTTTTAGAAGCTATTACTGAAGATGTGAACGGTTAAACTAGAGACAGGATCTCTGCTTGCAGCTGGCTTTGCAAAACTGGACAACTTGTTAACATGCTAATAAATGCATATCTACCTGGCAGATAAGCTTTTTCAAATGCATAGCATGAGTGGGGAGCAACTGTGATGAAGAGGTTGATAATTTACAAGGTGAACATTCACGGCTGCTGCGTTGAAGCACAAAGAAAACATTCTTGACTTCCACCAAAAAGGGGGAGGGGGAAATGTGCACAGAACATTTTAAACCCACCTTAAATTGAAAAAAATTAATTGTTAGAGCTACATTCTGCAAATGAAATTACTGCCAAATGCACCTGAGGGACAATAACACAGCTTTCCTTTGAAACAGAGTTTTAAAGCATTTTAGAGGGGGGAGCAGCTTGCTAGGTTTTCATGTTTCTGAAGAACTAATTTGTCATTTCAAAGCAAATCATCATGAGCTCTGTCCAGAGCTGTATCAGCCCATCTGGGAGAATTGATCCCTGCTGACTACGAAAGGAACTCTAAAGCTCTTGATGCTTACTAACTTTAATTTGATATTGTAAACATAGAGAAAAAATTCATAGGGATGAAGACTATGACATACCACTTGGGGCTATCCTTTTCTTCAGAAGTTTCCTCTGTCTTCTAAGCAGAGGAACCTTTTTCTACCAAGACTTTGTCTTAAGGATTTTCCAAAAGCCCTTTGTCAAATGGACCCCAAAGTGTGAAAAGCCAGGAGGTGCTCCTAACACTCCCAATTCAGCCCACCATCCGTGTTGTGCTCCAAGAAACACAAGAGCTCATGGAAGTGGGAAGCTTCTCACTGTGCATGGCCTTTAACATTCAGAGCCACATGTAAAAGAGCAGCAAGTATTTTTGACTTCTGCTTTTTCCTTGACGATCTCATTTGTGAAATATAAATACATGCTGCTCGTTTGAAAGGCCCCAAGGCTTTAACTCAACAAGCTTAACTAATGCTAAAACACATTTTGCTTTGTTCAGTGTCCCAGAAAATGCTAGCTATAGACCATATTACCCTAAAATGTGAACATTGCACAAAGAAATCTTAATCCAAACAAAGCCTCTCCCTTTAGGATCCAAACAGTTCAGTAATATTTTGACACATCACCACATCAACTACAATATTGAAGGCATGTGAGGAATCTGCTACTTGAATTACCACATTTTTGTTCCTCAAAGGGAACACAGAGTGTAAGCCTTCTGCAGTGAGACTGAAAAAAGACTACTACCTTTGGCATCATCAGAGCCTGAAGCCAATAGCTTTGGGTCCATCAAATTGAAGTCAACACTCCAGCACCTTTTCTCATGTTCCTGTTTAGAGAAACAAGAAAAATATTGCAAGGTAGTGAGCTGTAATCTGATAAAACTTTAAGAAAACCCACACATGCTGTTTGGTATAAATTGTCTGGAGAGTCCTGGACAGAGAAGCTTACTGTGTTTAGTAGTTTCTCAAAAATACATTTTTTTCTCTCCAATGCCATGAAAGTTGAAGACAATACAACAGCAATTTTAAAAACTAAAACTGATTGTATTTTTTGACTTGAAAGAAAAAAATAATTATTTTGGGAAATAGGCATTAAAGATGTGTGTTTGCAGCACAGATTGACTGGCTGTGGTTCCTCCATGTGCTGCTTTTTATTCTACTATTAGATCACAGTTGCATCTCCCAATATTAGTAAGATGCCTGTTCAAAGCCATTTCAAACACCCACTAAGTCCAGGAAACCCTCACCTTCCAAACAAGTTATTCAACAAAACTTCTAGTTTCTAACCCTGTGGTTTTCCACTCAAATAAATACTCCTAACAAGGCTGCATATTCTCCCCCAAAGCACAGAACAGTTGTATTTGCTACACTGGCACATCCCACATGGAAACAAACACTGCATTGAATGAAACCCAAAATTCAGTCAAATCCTTTGTTTAAAGTCTTGCAAAATGATGACAGGAAAAGCTTGCCAGGACAAAGTCACTAAAGGATTTCTAATACATGTGAAGCAGATGTCAGTATGCATGCCTGTATGCAAATCCAAATAAATAATTCAAGTAATCTGATAGGAAGCAAAATGAATTTGTTTTAACATAAGCAACAGCTGCTTCCCTCCAGGTTCATTATTCAGCCTCAAAAAGAAATGCAAAACTTACATGAGAGGAAAACAGAAGATTTATTTTGTCCAGTATCATTTTTGTTAATTGATAGAAAAAGGATTAGTAAAAAAAAGCATCATAAAATAGAAAAACCCCAATTAAGAGGTAAAAAAAGCTTAAATATTTAAATATTAAAAATTTAAAACTTATGTTGAGCTGTCAAGATGGGGGAACTGAAGGCCAGTCTGCAGTTCATTCATTATCACTGACCAGTTTCCATGCACTGTGCTACCTCCACACCAGCCTGCAGCACTTCCAGGCTCTCTGAAAACAGCCCATCTTCTCTGCCAGCCTCCTTGTTCAGACCACAAGCTTCCCAGAACCCATTACACAGCAACAGTGTTCAAATGGAATGAAAAGACAAAATGGCAGAAAGTTCTCCTGAAACAGGTCTCACTGTTGAGCTCAGCCCACTTGCATACATACATTGAGTGGCCAAGGCAGGACTGTCCCAGGAAGGGTTCTGCCTGCTGCTCCTTTCTCCCAGCCTTGCCACTTGATGTCTGCATTCTGCTCTTTTGCTTTATGAGCCCCTGCAGCCACAATCACCACAAAAGCCTTTTGTCAAAAGCCTGAAGCAGAACAGGTATGAAGAGACAGAGGTTTCTAGTGAAAGAGGTGAGATAAACAACTTCCAGAAGCTCATTTCTCCCTGTGCAGATTCTCTGCCTGAAAGCAGCAGCAAGAAAAAGTCAACCTCCTGGTGACTGTGACAAGAAGATCCAGCTGCCTCCCAGGGAGGACTACAGCTCATTAGAGCTGTAAGAATGAGATGCATCTACCAAACAGGAGAAGCATCTGTTTCACTCTGTGGAATGGAAAAGCCCATTGCTCAGACTACAAGCAGACCCTCAGACTAAAGGCTGATGCCCCAACGTGATCCACGGTGTAGGAAAGTGTTGCTCCCTGACTGCATGTTACCTGGTAGACTTTGGATCTTTGTCCTGTGAATCCATCCCAAAGGATGACTGTGCCTTCATAGTCACTGCTGGCTAGCAGGTTCTTGTGGTAACTACTCCAGCTGATACAGCTGAAAAAGAAAAAGAGCTCAGGTCAGTCTTAGATGAAATCCTGCCTTAGGAGGCAACAAGCACCCAGCATTCTATTAAGCCACCTCACTGAAATACTCAGGCAAGGACAAAACCAAAACCCATCAGAAATACAACAAACCTCCCTCCACAAGCTACAAGAAAAGCTTTACTGGCTCAAGATGAAGTGCTAGGATTTGGGATTTTCTTTCCATCCTTCCCCATATTCATCTCTAATCCAGTGATTATTTCACTACTTGAATTCCACCCAAATTCTCTTGCCAATAGCTACAACTGTAACCATTCCCACAAAAATAACTACTGCCCTAACAGGACATATATATGTAACACACATAGGTGCATGGATGGTAAATCTACTCCTCCTCTGGCACATAAGTAATGTTCTATATGTGCACGTACGTGCAAATCAAAGTTCTTCTGAGAAACTACTTCCAGCTTTCTGTAAATACAGAAAACACCTCCCCTTCCTACCCAGGAGGAAACAGCAATTTGTTTGCTATGGGCACTTTTGGACATGTTTCTGACTGAGAACTGCAAAATGCATGGCACAGGATTATATTTTAAACTTCATTAAGTGGCTGTGCAAAACTAGACGACAATTCCACCAACAAACTCTAACCATCAGCAGCCAAAACAGGAGCGGTGACACTGCCAAGTCACATTTGTAGCATTCTGGCACTATGCCCCCACTCTGCCTCCCAAAAAGAATGTGACAGAGGTAAGAAAATCTGTAATATTTGTTCACCAATTTTTGGACCATCTGGCAGAAAAGTATGCCAGTTGGTATCAACTGTGACACATGGAGGAGAAGCTGAGCTGACAAGATCCAATTCGTGCAGGTCGTCAAACAGCTCTGACACAGCTAACTAGATTAAGTTAGCCTTGGGGCCAAGCTTTAACCAACAATATAAACTAGAAGATCACGACTCTGGCTTTTTAGTACTGGTTTGATCACAGCAGCTACACATTGAAAGATGATGTAGGTACATGGATATTGACTTAAGAGTATTATAGCTTGGCAAACTCTTGGTTCCACTAGACACTTGCAGATTATTCTCCTTTGGAATTTACACACAAGGGGAAAATAGCTTTCCTTTTTTAAGTTTGTTGACTATAAACCCTTATTTTAATTAGTTAACAGCAAGCAGCATTGGTCAAACTTATTGGGGTGTGAGTTTTATAGCCCAAGGGACAATGCACACCAACCACTAATAGCTCATCAACATACAGCTGCATGGAATCAACAAGCTTATTTGAGGATCTGGTGCAACTAAGTGCTGGAAGGCAAGAAACTCAACTGGTTTTTAAGACAAATTAGAATAAAACCACAGAAGGAATAACATGCTATTGGTGCTTGCATCAGCAGGAAGCTTCACTGAGTGACCCAAAAGCCTCCCAGCTCTGACTGCCTCCCTCTGCACAAGTTAAAATCTGAAGCTTAAAGAAACAAGACAGTCACCCAACAGCAGCAGCTTTCCATGAGCCTCTTGCACCACTGTTTGGAGGAAACCTTGAGGAAACACCTGCAGTGCACCACTGGGAGCTTTTTTTAGAATGACCAGTAGAGAGAGACATTTGGTTACACTGCTTTCAAGCCATCAAGCACTTCTCCCTGTGCTCACTTCTATGTACTTATAAGCCTGTCCACATGCTTACACACTTCCTCTGTGTAAGAGCAGCCCTCGGTTTAAAGCTTTGCAGTCAGAAACTTAAGTTTTATTTACCCAATGTAAGTCACCTTCTTTAACCACCAGCTTCTAAGAGGATGGTTGAGGTGGTACAGCTCAGGCAATGCTTTGCCCAGTTTCACCTCTATGATATGACATTTGATAAGGAAATGTTATGGGTCCTCAGCCCTTGCAGGCACAGGGACTGTCCAGAAATGCAGCAAAGAGCCTCAGTCTTTAACAAAAACACTGGCTTAACTTCAGGGCAACTGGGCTCCTGAGCTGGTAAGACAGGGATGGGGAGCAGAATACCCCTCCTGTAATCCAGGAGGAAGCAGTTAGTGACCTGCTGTGCCACTTAGATCCTAACAAGTCTACGGGACCAGATGGGATTCATTGTAGGGTGCTGAGACAGCTGGCAAAAGAACTGGCTAAGCCCCTCTCCATCATTTATCAACAGTTCTGGCTGACTGGGAAGGTCCCAGAGGACTGGAGGTTGGCCTGTGTGACACCCACCCACCAGGAGGATCCATGAAACTATAGGCCTGTCAGCTTGATCTCAGGGCCTGGCAAGGTTATGGAGAAGATCAAGTGCCATCCAGTGCCATCAAGCAGCATGTACAGGACAACCAGGGGATCAGGCCCAGACAACGTGGGTTTAGGAAAGGAAGGTCCTGTCTGACCTGACTAATCTGATCTCCTTCTATGACTGAGTGACCCACCCAGTGGATGAGAAGGCTGTGGACGTGGTCTACCTAGACTTCAGTCTCCCATAGCATCCTCCTGGAAAAGCTGGCAGCCCATGGCTTGGACAGGTGCACTCTTTGCTGGGTTAAAAACTGACTGGATGACTTGGCCCAGAGAGTGGTGGTGAATGGAGCTGCATCCAGCTGGAGTCAAGTGACCAGTGGTGTCCCCCAGGCATCAGTACTGGGCCCAGTCCTAGTCAACATTCTTACTGATGACCTGGATGTGGGGATTAAGCCTATCCGTAGTAAGTTCACAGATGACACCAACCTGGGGGAGAGTGTCCATCTGCTGGAAGCTAGGATGACACTACAGAGGGACCTGGACAGGCTGGATCGATGGGCCAAGGCCAACAGTATGAGGCTCAACAAGACCAAGTGCCAGGTCTCACACTTTGGCCACAATAACCCCAGGCAGCCCTACAGACTGGGGAAGAGTGGCTTGAGAGTGAACCAGCAGGGAGGGACCTGGGAGTACTGGTTGACAACCAGTTGAACTCATGTTCAGCAGTGTGCCCAGGTGGTCTGGAAGGCCCATGGCATCCTGGCATATATCAAGAATAGTGTGGCCAGCAGGAGCAGGGATGTGATTCTCCCCCTGTGCTCAGCACCTCAAGTCCTGGGTGCAGCTCTGGGCCCCTCACTGCAAGAAGGATCTTGAGATGCTGGAGCAGGTCCAGAGATGAGCAACAAGGCTGGTGAAGGGACTAGAAGAAAAATTTTATAGGGATAGGCTGAGGGAGCTGGGGCTGTTTAGCCTGGAGAAGAGAAGACTCAGGGGGAACCCTTTTCACTCTCTACAACCACCTGAAGGGAGGCTGCAGTCCTGCAGTCAGGTGGAGTTCAGGTGCTTCTCCCAGGCAGCTAGTGACAGGATGAGAGGGCCTGGCCTGAAGTTGTGCCAGGAGAGGTTTAGGTTGGATATTAGGAAGCACTTCCTCATGGAATGGGTGATCAGACACTGGAATGGACTGCCCAAGGAAGTGGGGGAGTCACCATCCCTGGATGTGTTCAAGGAAAGGCTAGATGTGGCACTCAGTGCCATGGATTAGCCAATGTGGTGGTGTTAGGTCATAGGTTGGACTTGATGATCTCAGAGGTCTTTTCCAGCCCCAATGATTGTGTGATTATGTCAACTCTTCCATACTCACACATGAGTATACAACACTTAGTATACTACCTTTAGGTATCCACAGAAAAGCAGGTCTTGACAGTCTATGATTTACTCAGAGAGGCTTAAGTGTCTCCCTCAGGACCAAATGAAGCTGCCAGTCACTGCCCACCAGGACTGTGAGATGAAGGCTGCAGGAGCCCAGAGATAGCCATTCTGACATCTGGGGTCTTATTTCCAGGCAGCACAGTCAGTCACTGATGGAAGAAAATGTGGTTTGGAGTCCTAGAGCTACAATGCAGTGAGACTCTGGGCTGGGAACAGCCTCCTGCTAATGGCAGGGGTTAGACACTGCACTAGACATTTATCTCTTCTAATTTTTTTCCCCTGCCATCTTATCTCCACTGAAGTCAGGGCTTCAAGCAGCTTAAGAAAATCTGTACATTGAGCCATCACATAAAAGCAGGAAGAATACAGCCCCAGGACACATTTTAGAGAAGGCAGTCTTTTATCTAGGCAGCTTTGAGAGTATGTCAGGCTCCATCAGAAGGTGGAGAGACTGGTCTGGACCAGACATGCTGGTGCCACCTTGGCTGGTTAGAGGGTGGATGATCTATGCAAGGAGAGAATGAGATCTACATCAGACTGTCAGAGGAGAGCTGGGTATTGCAAGATGAACTATGAAGAGGTTAATCACATAACTACACCTTGTCAAAAAAGAAATCACCCCAGCCTATGAAAATCAGGAATTCATGAGTAGGTATAAAAATACAAAAGACAGAGTTTAACAGTTCTATTTGAGATGTGACAGATCTAAGGATCTAAGAAATGTCAGGTTTGTAGGGAGAGGTAGTATTTTATCAGGTCAATATAGATGGAGAAAAATGAAGGGTTTCTGTGCTCAAAACCATGTCCATTAGGTCTGGCACAAAGATCAAGGTAAACATTCTGTCCCACTGAAGTCTAATGCTGTTAAGGAGGGGTTATACACTCACTGGCAAAGCAGTTGTAGATAGACTGAGAGGGGAAACTGGAACTGACAGGCAAAAAATGTTCAGGGATTTGCAGCCACTAAGTAGTTCAATTAACACCTTTTAAGTCACACACATCATAAGTCTTTCATTTGTAAGCAATATGATTAAAGGATCCTAATAAAACAAAATCAACCCTGTTTCAGCCCTCTGCATTAATTCTCCCCTCATCATCACCCAACTCTTTACAAAGTCTGAAACTAGAACCTTCTCCTTGACATTGCAACACTTGAGCTTTTTTACAACTTAAGTTCTCAAAAGTAACCTCTGCAGAGCAGCACAAATTCAGGGTTGGATCCTGTGAAGGGAAGCTCCCTCTCCAGGTAAAGGATGCTTTTTACCAAGGGCTGACTGTCCTTTGTATTCTCTGGCATCTATGATGATACAGGCCAGAAAGGCTGTCCTGGAGCTGGGACATTATGATGTTTCTCTTCCAAGTGGCTTCCCTGGGACCTACAAAGGGTTGAGAAGCTACTGTCATGCTGCCCTCAAGGGAAGAGCTGATCTTTCTTCCATGCCTAACACAAGTGATTTTGTTGACACTTCAAAGACATCTACTGGTTTTGATTCCCTTGAGATTATTATCACGGGTTACAAATTGAGTAACAGACTCAATGTGTATGGGGGAACAAGCTCAAGAGGGTGAAAGGAAAGGGCAAATGTGAGATGGACCATAAATGCAGCTTAGAGAGTCCTCAAACAGTTTAAGCATTGAAAACCCACAAATACATACAAATAACCTTCTGTAGACAACCTTTAGGAGGCCTGCAGCCACATCCAAGATAAATTGATATGTGGAGGGATAAAAAAAATTGCTACCTAAGGCTCAAGTAATGCATAATTCAGTGCTGGATTAAAAGGAGTTGTGCAAGGCTGTCTTTTATTTTAAATAGCAGTAGTTGTATTTTTTCAGTTTTTGCTTTGTTCTTTAATTCAAAACCAGGGCAACAGTTACTCCCCAGAGGTGTATCTTGCCATAAGTTATGACAGCTTTTCTTCCTTGGAGATTAACCTGGAGAAACTCTAGTTGAAAGTTAATCACTGACCTCTGAAAACACTCTCCTAACCTCAGCATCTGATCTGGACACATAGAAATCCTGACCCTGTAAAGATTTATCCTTCATTTTATTCAGACACACAAGTGGACCAGCTCAGTTAGCACTGTCAGGAGCACTGATGTTTCTTTCATGAGCCAGTGGCTCATGATGCCTGAAATCCAGGCTCGAGTTATCCAGTGTCTATTGCCCCTCTGGCAGTGAGAGTTAAATGGAGTTAAAGCTTTAAAAAAGGCACAAGTTGCTATGGTTTGACCTGCTTCTGAGTGCCAAGTACTTCAGGTTCTGTCTATTACCATGAGTCAACTGATGCCCAGTAGTTTTAGGACTGAAATGTTTTCAAGGGAGTAATCTATTATTGCAAGGAACATCCACATGAATAACAGCACTAACCAAAAAGTCCAGAGACATCCAGAAATACATTCCCATTATGAATGTTTAGAAGCCTTTTTGCTAATCAACCCAAAGAAAACCTCTAGTAGAGTTAAGAAAAATACTTTCAAATAAAAACTTCACCTTATTGCAAAGTGAAAGTCATGCAGTTACTCTGAAAATTGGAATTAATAAAAGTTGAAGGTATATTTCCTTAGAATCTGTTTAATGTCAAACATTTTTTGAACTGGAAATAATAGGCATCCAACACAAGCACTGGGGAGGTTTTTCAGCATAAAGAGTGCTCAGACCTCTCCAAACACAAAGCTAAAAAAACCCACTATGGGAAGTTTTTGCTTAATTTAACCTTAATAGTAAGAATTGACTGTCATTTTAAAACCTGACAGCAATATGCCCATGAACTGCTATGACAACAGAACAATCATACATCTGATTTACTGACACCAAAAAATGAAAACAAAATACTAGCAGCCTCCTAAAAAAAAAAAAAGCCTACTGATGGTTTGCTTGAACTGCAGTTGGCTAAACAGATACAGCTGATTTTAGAGGCCTGTGGTAATATCTATCACTGAAATACAGCTGCTGCAAACACCCAGTGGTGAGCATGCAGAATACTAACCATGGATTTCAAAAGCATGTTTATCTAGCCACACTTGCACATCACCTATTGGAGATTAACGAGGCCTAAAGCCAATTTCTTTTACCTGAAAGCTACATCTCCTTTTTCTCCCCCTATAACCTATGGCAAAACAACAGATCTGCCTCTTGGATAAATGGGAGAAGAGCTGTGGCTGGCTGCTAACCATTCATCCTCTTCTTGTCCTTCCCCATCTCCTGCTGCACAGGAGGAGCTGCAGATTATGGCCTGCCATAGCTAGGGACACAGCAAGTCATAATTAGCTCACAGGGTGCTGTTTATAGCTACTACACAATGCCCGGATTTGTTTCTTGTAGTGAAGCTATGAATCTGTAAATGGGATTTTTATGAGGATTTGTGTGTCATCTTGTGTTTTTCCTGGAAGCTTATGCCACTGTCATTCCCCAGGGGATGCAATACACGTTTACCAGAAACCCGACACGCTGACTTCCTCCTAGTTCTTAAAAATAGGGATGAGAAAGCTCAGCAGCTGATGATAAAAAGGAATGTATTTAAGAAGCAGGTGGGTGTAAAAAAAGGGGGTTGGAAAAGAGGAAGAAAGACTCAGCTACAGCTGGTACCAGGGCTCTGCTCCAGAAAAGCCTACAATCAAATACTGCTGGCATGAAGCTCAACCTTTCAGCAGGCACCCAGCTGGCACACAGCAGAGCAGGGCTGGGCTGGTGCCAGCCCCATCCTGGGCAAGGGCTTCCCTTCTGCAGCTGCTCCAGGCCAGCAGACTTGCTCTTGGCCAGACATGAGTCCTTACAAATGCTGTCACCTGTCTGCTTTTATAAAAGGCCATCAGAGCTGCTGCTCCTCCAAAAGCTGAGTCACCAACGTAAGCACTAACGATTTATGTTCCAGCATCATCACTCTGAATAAGGTTAACCAGGATCAATCTAGGGTGAGCTTCCCATGACATGTCTTTGGAAAGCTAAAGTGCCTGCAGACAGACAGCTCTGGTGCCACATAAGGACAGAAGGGACGCTGCCAGCCATGCCAGTGTCACATGCCAGCTTCAGCAGAACAGATGTGTCACCAGATCCCATCTGCATGCAGACCCCCGCATTTCTGCTGGGAAGAGAGGCACCACCCATATGCCAGAGCAGAAATATGTCTGCCTTGGATACCAGAAGGAACACTAGCAGGTGGAGCAAGCCTCAGAAAGAAGCTACACCTCCACCCAAATTAAAATCAACAGCTTCAAGCCAAGGCTTTTTACAAAAAGCAGGCTCCAGTTGTTTAGATTTTTTTCATTAAAATACAGGCACATTTTCAGCATACTGCAATATTCCATAATGAAATTACAGCCTTCATCTCTATCTTCTCCCCCAAGCTACACCACTTCAGAATAGCAAGTCATTATGCTGCTCAACCCCGGCACCAGTGACTGGCAGCACAGCTAATGGATATAGCAAGACGCCTCTGACTGACAGCCTAACTTTATTTGTCAAAGCCAAAAAGCACCCACATGCCAAAGGAAGGTTGATATAATGTGGAGGTGCCAATGGGGGAAAAAAAAAGGCATTTATTCAGAGGAATGAGAGGAACAAAGACAAGAAAGAAGAGGACCCTGTCCACCTCCGCTGAGACACACGGCGTCAGAGGAAAACTCATTTGCATCATCTTATATATATATAATGTATATATGCATGAAATTTGAGAAAGAAGAAATCTTGAATGCAAGCAGTGTCTTGTCTGGAGCACGAAGCTGACAAGAGTAACGTCACTGAAGGCACTAACACAGCTCTGCTCACCAGCAGCTGCCGGAGAAGGGAGAACAAACAACTATCTAATGCCTGGCAGGATCAACTTCAGTACTGTCAAATTCAAAGTAACAAGTTTGGAAGTTGTCTCAGACAGACAAACACCTAACACACATTGCTTTTCCCCTTCTAATTAAGGCAAAAGGTGTTAATCGACTGCTAGATGGTTCTCCTGTTATTCTGCTTTTCTTTCCAGAATAATAAAGCTGAACAGTGTGAATCCTGCTGTGACTCAGGCAAAAATGGTGAATATTTCACAAATTCAGCAAAACACAAGCTAAATAATCAGCATGGCTTTTTGATACAAATCCCTCTCAGATTGTTTTTACCCTTTTTGAAAACCAGTCCCAGGGTCATCTGCATTTACACCTTTTCCTTCATAGAAAAGTGTTACACAACTCCAAAGAATAACCAGCACAAGTGATACAAGAGTGACTGATTCATCATCAGAAACGTGTCAGCTACAAAACTTAACATGACTTTTATGCTCTCAAGTAGGCTTGCAAGCATTATTAATCTTGTTGCACAACATGGTTTTTGTGGAAGCCAGGCTGTTATCTAAATTTATTACTTACACTTTTGTTGGTGCTTTACTGTTTTTAGAATATAGAGTACCAACTAAAAACAAATGAGCTCAAGGACACCAGAGACTTGTATTATAATTCCAAATTGGTTTGACTGACTGTATTATTTACTTTTGAGCTGTAACAGAATTGTTGATTAAGGATTTTTAAGTTACTTCAGCTGGATTATTTCAATTGAAGACCTGACACAGTGGTCTATATTTCTTTGGTTTAAGTCATCTAAAAAGAAAGAAATAGGTTGACAGTAACAATAGAAGCACAGAAGCAAAAATCAGGGCAAGGTCTTTTCCCAAGGCTTATTTCCTGAGGAGTAGCAGCCTCTCAGCAGAATGGAAACCAACTGGTTGAAGAAGAGAACATGAAGAATTTGGTGACTCTTGCAAAGAACTAGGCACAGAAGTTACCTTGAGGCTAGCCAAGACTTTAACTGGAACAAGTCCACTACTCTGCTTCTACTCTCCTTTTCACTGCATAGGTATTCCACAGCATTTGCAAGGAATGCAAAAGCAGTTCTCTACCCTTTGTCTCTTTCTCCTCCAGATATGTGGCCCTGCTATTATCTTGGATGGGCCCAGTGTACACAAGTAGCAGTGCTTGTGCCACCCAACCCCACCCAGTGCTCAAAGCAAGCTCTCCACCAGCTCCTGCCTTCCTCCTTCCCCCTCCCACCCCCGCAGTGGTTAAAGAAAGCAAAGCGGTTACCACACATGAGCAAGCACATGGAAGAGGCCCTCTAAGCTCAAACACAAAGTCAACACCTACCTGATTTTGGAATTACAGGTCATTTCATTCTCCGGGTAGTGAATATCCACGGCATCCTGAATGACTGTACCATACTCATAGACTTTAATCTTCTTTGTCACCCCAGCGATGGCAAAGTAGTCACAGTCTCGGTCGAACTCAATACTGAGGAACAAAAGCATAGGTTGAGAACTCTGGAACACAACACATACTCACCAGCACAGTATTTTACCATATAAACATCTCACTATGGCAGAGCTGATAATCACAAATACCCCCATTCAGACCACTTGGTCAGATCTGGCACACACACACCCCAACAGTGTGTAGTTCTTGCTCTCAAGCATCATTTTCTTATCCTCTCCAAACACCCACATCTCCATTTACCCAAACAGGACCTCTTGTGGTAACACAATCTCCTTCCAGCAGTCAGGATCTTTGTTCAGACACTCTAGAGGTTTATCTAGTTCATCTACACCACCTACATTACGTGGTATCCAGATGTCAGAGCTGCCAGCTAGTCCTAGAAACATGCTCCACCTTCAGCTGCACACTCTGGGAACAACAGCATGAGTACCCATTGATTTCTCCCAGTTGCACTGCTGCATCCCTTAGCTCCTATACACAGCAGCTTGGTGAACTCTATGTGTTAAGGCAGAGTAAACTGGTATTTGTGGAAAAAGCCTTCTAAAATTCCCTGAGTAACAGAAGTTTGAAACATACATAATCAGTAATGTAAAAACCATGCATGCTATGACTTCCACCTAGGGTTGCTTGTGGAAACCAACAGCACCTTCTTGCTTGAACTGCAGGGCAACCTTGTAACAGATACCAATGAAGTTGGGAGTAAAAGCAGTCACCTTCTAACAAAGTTAAGCTGCAAATGAGAAAAGCCTGAGGTTGTATGCAAAATACATCTGAGAGAAAAGCAGGCAGTGTGTTATAACCAGCTAATGTCATTGCTACCTTTGCAGCTCAGAAGGGCTCAAGAGAAGTCTATTAGACACTTAGCAGGCAGGCAAGTAAACTTGCTCCCTAGAAGCAGCTCCTGCCTGCAGCCTGTCATTGCAGGCAGGGCAGGGTGGATGGTGGGTGTGCACCCATACCTACTCTCAGGAGCATCAGCCTCAGCAAGACACCAGTTTGGTACTCCCAGAAAGATTTTAGGGGGAGCATTTACCCTCAGGCTCCAGGTTTCTGTGATCAGTATCCACCTCTCCTCAAGCTTCTTGACTAGATAATCAACCTGCTACTCTGAGGGGTCTCTTTTAGGGTTCTTCTCCTAATTTCAATCTCTGCTGCCCCCATCACACTTTTTTCCAAGAAACCACTGCATTTGTGAAGTAGGCAGCAAGTTCTGAATGAGTTCAGAGAAAAACCAAGTTTACACTGATTTTACATTCATACAGCTTAAAAAATCCTGAGGGCAAGGCTATTTAAGGTACCTTTCTACAATTATAAAGCATTAAACCAATTACAAGAGAGAGGGCTCTTTAGGCTGCCCCCATAGCCGTAATAGCTAGAATTTCCTACCCCTCAACAGAGCTGACAAGTTGAAGGCACTGAAATGCCTTCAAAGGCAAAATAAATGCTAGCAGAGTTTTCAAGTCCTTGTAAAGGAGATATCACCAAGTTATTTTTAAACTTGATGGAGAGAAAGGATTGTTGATATGCAGCCTGACAGTACAAAATAATTCAATGAAACAGCTTGGAACTTGGCCTTTTAAGGCAGGCACTGAAACTTCTCCAAAGCAGTGGCAGGATACAGTCCCACTCACCACTACCTGCTCACTAGAGGAGAAACAAGCTGGTTGGATCAAGTCTGTAAAATCACAAGCCCCTGAAATAAAATAAGAAGCAATGTGCTTATGGCCAGGGAATTAAGGAAGCAAGCAGGCAAGCATCTATTAAATACAATGTGAGAGGGAAAGAAGTCATCTAAGGAGCCAGACAGCTCTCCCCCTGCCCCAGATCCACCCTAGCCTAATTGCTTTTTATACAAGCAGAGTGAAAGCACCATTCAGGCCTGCCTTGTCTTGTCAGCTCACCCTGTTCTGTGGAAGAATTTTATAATCCAAAGCCTCTATAACAATAAAATGGATTTACTTGTACCACAGTCTTAATTGAACTGCTGTCTCAGCTCCTGCTCCCTGCCCTGTGGATTCAGGTAAAGCACAACTAAACTGATGGCAGCGATTCATTTACTTGGATTCAATTTATACTTTTAGCCTTCTCCTGCTG